ATTAAGTACTGCGAGCACATACGTATGATGCAATCAAGAAACAAAACCAATGAGACAAGTTCTTACGGTGAAAGACTCTTAGACAGATTTTATATTTTATTATCTCGCTAAGGAAGCGTCGTGACGTTTATGTAAATATCTGTATTCCTTGGTGAAGTGTCGTCAATAACTTCAGCATGGCATAATGCATATCGGTAAGGGAGATGAGGTAAGAACGGAAAGAAGCGCGCGGTGAAAGGAGTATACAGACGGAGAGAGGAAAGATGGAGAATATGAAAAAAAGGAAAATTCTGAATGGTACTCGCGTGTCGTCTGGGCGAAAGATAGGAATTTTCTTAGCAGCTGGAAACTTTCTCAGAGTTTTCTGTCGATTTGACGTTTTATCCGAAGGCTCAGACACCGGAAGACATATAAATGTTAGACGAAGTGCTTCACACATCGATGTGTTCTGCCAAAAAAAGAAAAACGACTGGCCGCCGCCGTTATTATATTGTATAATCTTTAAATATATTTGTAAAAAGGAGTTCGATCCGAAGTCACCCTCGTATTCACTTCAAATATCAAAGACACATCACTATATGTCAGCTGAAATAATCGACTGCATCTATTTATATCTGTTTATATCACGTATTTTAATTCGTGTCGTAGAACGCTTTCGCGCTTGTTATTCTGATATTTCGTACTCCCTGTGTTCATTTCTCTGTACCTCATCATGAACACACAGCATAGAAGCCTTTAAATCTTTCTGCCGTGAAATTACTATGCGGTAGCTCGTCATTATCAACCTCCGTCCCTATAGTAGGTATAACTACGTGCGCACATTCATGCTACAAACCCGTCAAAGTAATTACATACACGCGCGTCTGCATCACGCCTTCTCGTATGACACATTTGCTTGCTATTAACAGCAAATAATGTGATGATAAAATAATAAAATTCCATGCACTTTTACAGCTTTTTATTTGTATGACATTTTTGTTTCCATCTAACTGTAATGGACTTACGTTATTTTTTGGTCGAGAATAACTGTACATTTTATTATAATAACTGGACTGTATGAAATAAGAGACCGTGATATTTGCTTTATTTTCTCAAGACAAGAGGTCATTGTAGACAATTTGCACGGACCCGAACGTTTCGCCCGAAGCAAAAAGTTTTAAATGTTTCTCGTCCCTCGACTTTTGCCACGCTATTCTCTCCTCGCGCACGAGAATTAAACGCGGCCGAGTCCGGCAACAACCGTGACCCGAATATTGTTAGTCCCCTTATTTACGTTTAAACGTCTTTTAACTCGCCAATAACGCGAATACTTCGAGCCTTCAACATGGCAAATTGAACGATCGTGTGTTACGATAGAATCAAAACGAACTGAAGTGGAGCACGTACAATTAATTTTTTTATATTATCAAGATTTTCTCCGTGGAAAATAAAGTTGTATAAACGACTATTACAATTTCTTCTGGTTACTCCTAATTAAAAAAAGATAGATATACATAATGAATATTGATCTAAGACTCGAATATAACGGATTAATTTAATTAGCAGAATGTTTCTTTAGTACATTTCTTATTTAATTGTATACTTATTTAAACTTACATTTAAATACATAGCAAAATATATTAGCAAACGTCATTCCAAAGAAATAATTTGCTAAATAACGATGAAGTTAAAATATGTAAATCTATAAATATCTATAAATGTATAATATCTGGGATATTGTTGTCAAAGTTTCTTGAAAATTATAATTATTCTCTCCCCCTTCTCTGTCTCTCTCACTCACATTGAATTGAATTGAATCTAACGCGCACACAATCTGATTTTCGAGTAACGTGCCCGTTCGAGCGACATTAATAGCCTTTTCTCAAAAGTATTCTTCTGCTGTGGAGAGGATGCTGGACGATGCAGTTACCGATATACCAATCGCCTTTAAGTCCCTCTTAAACCGACGGTGTAATCTACTTATGGGTGCAAAGCTTCTCTAAACCGGTCAGCCATGAACGCGCTTGGCTCGAAACGCTTTTGCGATCCCACATTCCGCGGAGTTGTCTGTTATCTGAAAGTACCTGCTGCGTCTTCGCGGTCGGTGTATTCGCCGTGGCTATCAAACGCAGACGCTCATCCGCCGATGCATTTAAAGCGGAAGTCGCATGTAAGACAGAGATAGCGTGAAACGCTAGTCGTTGATTAAAGACGGGAAGAGGAACGAGAGAACGAGGGTAAAAACGTCCCATTGAATGCGCGTCCCTTAATGGTATTCACTGTGAACACAATAATATACCGAGACCCCGAGGAATGAGGTTTTGAATGAGAGATTAAGATTCTAACACGCCTACCGATAACGCGGAGATTATTCATCGAGGTGCCGGAACGCGCCTCGATGATTAATACGGAGCGATTTGGAACGATTAGATTTTTCGGATTTAATGTATTCTGTTTTAAATTAATGCAGTATCTTATAAATATCTTACAATCGTTGAAGATTAAGCCTCACCTTGGACGATCTATAATCTATATCAGAATTCAGAATAGACTTCTACTTATAATTGTACATATCGTGTACAATACGAAAGACAGTTGACAAATTAGCAGACAAATGTACATAAAAAAATGCATATATCGAATAAAATACTCGATGTATGAAATTGTGAATATTATAGAATTCTATTCTGTGAAATTTAACGTGAATTACAGATTGTTTAAAGTAAGGTTAAATGAAATAGTACTATGCGCGTATCTTCATGCTTGACGTAATTTCCCAGATTTACTAACTAATAAATGAGCATTCAGTATGCCTATCCTTGTTGTCGTAAATGTTTATCAAGAAAAAGCTAAGTTAAAGATAAAGCGTTATCACCACATTTTTTACGATAACTTTCTTTGCCTATGAGCAATAGAGAAGCAAATGAAATAGTTGATCGATTATTTGTTTAAACATATACTTATCTTATTTCCATATAGCCATTGCGAAACTCTAGAGCAAGTATAATTTTTAAAAATAGACTGTAATACATATAAAGCACAATTTCTAAATATATGAACTATATATGTATAAGCTACAATTCTAATTCTAAAATCTAATTTGATTAAAAACATCAGTAACTTCCTGAAATATTTATACATATAAAGCACAATTTCTAAATATAAAGAAAGTTATATATAAGTTCTAAAATTTAATTCCGATGAACATTGTTTCTAAAATAATGTTTCTAAAATAAAAACAATCTAACGGGTGCTTCTGGCACGTCAAAAGTATGTTCTGGTCAACTGTGGATTACAGCAACTGATGTGTATAAAAAATACATTGCGAATGGCTATAGGAGTTAAAATCCGCTTACCGCCCACACTGTTCACAATTTAAAAAATCGATTGCATCACGCACAACGGCGAGAATATTACTGTCCTATCTTAATGCGTGCTGATTTTGCGTGTCAATTAAGACCAGTATTCGAATAGCTCGGTCGACCTCTGCGGCCGTCGCGACCGAGACGGTTCCGTACGAAACTGAACACGTCGGAATCAATTACGCGGCTGGCTTTCAAAATAATTAATTTCCGAGGGCTCGCCTTATATCGCCAAAACTGTCGGCGTGCAGTATTCATTTGTCTCGCCGTGTGGTCATGAGTCGCAAACCCATACAGTATTGAGGGCAACGTCTCGCCGACCTATCTCTGTGTCAACCCTTGTTCAAGTGACTTTTCTGTTCGGGAAGTCTGTCATGAATATCGACAAGCGAAATTAACTGAAAGAAACAAGCTGCACTTTGCGCCATTTATAAATACACTGAACTTGATCTGCGAGTGAGATAACAGATCTAAATTAACGAGCATGAATATAAAATACGATCTGACTGTTTAGTGCTATACTATTTTTAAAATCCACTTTACACGATTTATAATTTGTATTAAATTTTAAGACAGGGCTCTATTTATATTTTGTATTGGATATTTTGATATGTGCATTTTATATACATGCGGTATTTTAATTTTTCAAGTGCTTTTTATATTACACAGCATATAAAATTAATTGAATTTTATCCCGAGTTATGACACATGAATTAAAAATTATTTAAAAATAGACTTTAATATAAAATATCAATTAATATTGGCAGTGTAGAATGTCTCATTGTATGATACTTTAATATTTTGGAAATAAATTAGACTTGAAAATTCCGATACGAAAATCGATAATAATAGATCTCTGGTTATAAATTGAAAGTAACATTTTGATCTATTATTTGTTATCGACTCTCACAACTTTAATATATACAAGTACATTTACTATAATAACTAATATAAGTTGATTACTAATAGCAATTCTTAATTATTGTTATACAAATTATTTCATACTTTTCAAAGAAATTTTAAAAATTAATTTATTACTTTATTTGAAAAGAATTAAATTTAACGTTAAATCTAAATTAAAAGAAATAAAGTTCTTTTTCTCTTTTTTCTTTCTATTTTGTAATAAAAAATGGAAATTATAATTTATTATTAATATTTCTTTTCCAAATTTTGATTTCCTGGAAGGAGTAAAATTGTGTGCGAAAAAAATTACTACATATTTTTTACAATAATTTAATTTTTCTATTTTTCTTGTACATGTAAAGAACGTAATGGAAATAATAATTAATTAACTTATACAAGTCGGTTTTGGCTAAAATATACGCTTATACGCTTTTTCGGTTAAAATAAGGTAAATCTCACTCTTCAAAAGAAATGCTAGACTTTAACATTTAGCAATATACTATGGCCTATAGTGGCCATAGTATATTGCTTCATTCATCGGAGTTGATTTGGAAACGCATGGCAAGAAATGGAAAGAATATTTGTTTATAATACGCGTTTAATATTTCCCGTACGTTAAATGTTTGTAACGGCTAGGCAGGCATGCCGCGTGTGACGCGACGAAGCTTAGGTGTTTTTTTTTTCGCGGCGTACGCGCGGGCCGCGGCGCCCGCGGCGAGCGCGAGCGCGCTCACCTTGTCATTCGCGCGGCGAGACTCGAGTAAGCAGGTGGCGGCGTGAGCTGCTCCGTGTGTCGTCGTATCATTATCCTTCGAAATACGCGCTCACAAGTGCCGAGAGATAACGCGATCGTTTTCCTCAAACAATTAGCGACGTTTATCCCGCACGATCGATTAATTCGCACGGTTAACGACTACGGTCAACGACTCGCGAGTATATTGTGGCGACGGCTATTTACCGAAATATATTTGAGATGAGAATCGAAGCGATAAGGAATTGTTGTTTTAAACACAATTTCCACGAGCGATAGTTCTTTCTTTTGTGATATAATTACTTGAATTTTTGTATCTCGCGTCGCGCTTGGTATTTTTGAAGCGAAATCGTCAACGAATTTCTCGGTCATTAATGGAACAAATGGACTTCGATATAAGCGTCACGATTTATCTGATTAATAAGTAATCAGTTTTAAATTTTGTCATTTATACAAATTCGGTATATTGATAATTTATTAAAGCTCTTCGTCGTTCGAAATTCTGTTATTCTAATAAGAGCCTATACAAGCATGCCTTCGAAGGGATCACATAATTAAATTTTCTTTCGTGTTATTCGCAATGTACTAAAATACATATCGCATGTAATCAATATCGGGAGTTCTGTGCAAGTATCGTGTGATTAACGCGTTCTATAAAGGAACGAAAGAAAAGAGGAAGGCCTAGGAGACATCGGACGATCATGGAGTGAGTAACTATATTTTATTTGTCACAAAATAAGACGTTGATAATTATTTTACATGCGCGACGGTTATTCGAACTATTTATTATTTTATGCATTACTGTAATTTCGGTATACTTATATTTTAAAGTTCAACACAATTCGTACTACAATTCCGCTGTCATGCATCGTGAGGGAGAAATCGTCTTTTATTTTAATTTACGATAATGGATCTGTGAAAGTTGTATCAGATATCTATAAGACGTCTGTGTATCTAAATTTATCTATCTGTATCAATTCAATAGCGTAAAAATAATTAATACGGAGAAATGTAATAGCGTTTTTCACTGGCAGAACTGGTGCGCACTCAGTGCACATTAAAGCCGTTGTACACTGATTTTGTATCTAATATTTAAAGTAAAATGCAAATATTTCGACTGATAAAATACTCGCAGTACATATTTTACCAAATAGTGCAATAAAGAATATTGAGGATTTCATGATTTAACCCGATTATATTAAACATACACTTTACGTTGGTTTGTGTACGACGGCTTTAATGTGCACTGAGTGCGCACCGGCTCTGCCAGTGAAAAACGCTATAACATAGATTCATTTTAAATGAATAGATTAGGAGATAGATTAAAGCTGACCCTCGAATATGTAATTATTATATCCGATTTATTGCACGTATATATAAGAGAGAAGCTCATATATAACGTTGAATTTATATATTCAATTTATTTAATAAAATATATGCTAATGATTTTATTAATTGTATTTATTTTTAGAACGCGCCAATTTTATTTTAATTTTTTATAGTTTATTCAACTAATAGCAAATAAAATTTGTTATTAGTAACCAATTTGACAATATTAGCTGATTATTATAATTTATATAATACTAGACACTACAGACGCGCGCTACGCGCGCGCTATTTATCTTTAACATTTCACTATTAACCCTATTATACACAACTGTCAAAATATACAATGACAGCTGCAAATGAAGTAAGCGCAGCAAGAGAACCAATCGGCATCGCGGAAAAGCGGCAACAATAAACTTCACATCTCCTTTTTAGAAGAGGATATTATAATTTATATAATAATACTTATATAATATACGTGAGAATTAATAACAAATGACGGATCTGATATTGGTTTTATTATAGCTAATTTTGATTGTATTTAATCTCCACGTTATTAAAATATTGATAATTATGACATTCTTCATATAGCTATTTATATAAGATTTGTCTGCAAAGATTGTTTACGTAACTTACGATTTTAATTCCGGTAATAGATAAAAGATTCTCTTTAATTTTGAATTAGTAGGTATACACGGAGAAAATTTTATAGTAAATATTACTATGGTGTCGCACTAGCTGCGGACCATCGAGGAATTTCAAGTTAAAATACTATAATTATTGTTTTAAAAACGATTAAATAACGTAATTTTTACCATAAACATAGTAATTTAACTTAAAATTCCTCGATGGTCCGCAGCTAGTGCGACACCATAGTAATATTTACTGTAAAATTTTCTCCGTGTATCGAAGCATAAATTGTTCTCGGATTATGATCAATTGAAAATTGATTTATTTTTCAGTTGATATATCAGACTTTTCTCTAACAAAATTTTAATTTTTTTATTAGGACATTAAAATTTATAGTCAGTTCAGTTTCATGCGTCTTCTAAATTCAGTTTTCTTTTTTTTAACATCTTGTACATTATCGTCATAAATTTAGAGTGCCACTATGCTAGAAAATAAACGGCATCCTGTCGATTAAGTCTTTCATATTTCACAATCAGCGGGTGTGCCGTCAAAACGGGGCATAAATAAATTAACGTAGCACGATGCAATTCGTACGTCCCGTGTTAAGCCTTTGAGTTATATCGCTCTGCCGAGTTAAGAGGAGTTAAGAAAAACATAAATGTTGCGATTGAATTGGTAACTCGTGGGAAAGCTATTTTCACGTTCTCGAGCAGGAGCGCGCATTAAGTACGTCGCCATCAGCCATAGAATGTACGCCAGCTCCTCGTAAGCGTGATTTCTTGTAAACAGCTTTGTTTCTTGATACGAACGGAGTTCTGAGAATCATGATACTAAACGTTTTGTCACGTGCCGAGCCATTGTCGTGGGAAAATCGGGGAGGATGCGCGAGATTGGGATTCTTATTTGTAATTTATGTCTTGTACTAATGATTTGGTTGTTTTTCTTCTTCTTCTCGAAAAGCATCTATGAATAGATTCGATGTTCGTTAAAATCGTTAGGCAATTTTAATGATTTATGTCAATTATGATGTCATTTGATGAGTCAGATTGTTTGTATTTGTCTCATCTCAAATTACATTGTCTTAGTTTGTACCGAAAGTTCAAAAACAATCTGTCACTCTCAGAGAATTCTATTTAGTAGCAAAACGTTTGACAAAAATAAGCCAATTTGAAAATACTTTATCAATTTAGTACGCGTAGGATCAAACTGTTATGAACGTAACATAAATATAAAATTCACATCACGCGATTGATTGTAAAGATAGCCGCATTTTCCAACGCAAAAATACAGATTTTATATTTAAATGCTAAATATATTTAACATTAAACATTTTAAACATTGCATGTATAATATCAAGGAATCTGTTGTTAAAATTAACGGTAAGAATTTTAAGTATCTGTAGTTTTGGGATATTTAAATAATGCTATCTGGAAATTTTATACGCGATCTGTGATAATAAGGAAAAACGCGATAAGAAAAGACACGCCGCAACTATGTAACTTGATCGCAGAAAAAATGCAGAAAAGCTAGAAATCCAATTAAGATTCCTTGGCGCCACCCAGAGTACGTTACATTAATTAAAATCATACATATGCAATATTCTTCGACATTTATCTGGTAATTATATGCGAACACCTCTTGTTTGTAACAAGATATGCATACGCATTGTAAATTGCCTCGGAAAATTGCTACAGGAAAATTAAACGATCGTACGATAACTCGCGAACAACAACGATCAATCGATGGCGATGGCAGTTGGCACGAATATCGCTCTGCTGGAAGTAATTTATGAATAATAGAAACGTTTAGAATTGCCGTAATCGCTTTTGCTATATATGCGTCAAGTTGCACGACAGTATAACTCAGTATCGGCACATAGAATGCTTTGTATCGAGCATTAAATTTTCATCGTGTAATTCCTCTAATGTGAAAATGTATTCCTCTCTTATACACGAAGATATATATTTATATAAATTATTTATATTATTATATATCTATTAATTATCTGTTTTTATAATATAAAACTATATTTACTTATATTCTTATAAAATAATTTTATCTCTTATTTCGAATTGTTTAGAATATATAAATATATATATTTCAGAAAATTAATTCAAATTACAAATCTCTATGCTAATTTCGATCGTAATATTGACTGCATTGCATAAGTAAAATTTAAAATTAGACTGCCGTACGTAGCTGAATATATTTTAGATATATATGAATGAATATATTTTAGATATAATTGGTATCATAAAACGTAATTGCGGTACCTAAAAAATCCAAATCAAATAATTATCTCGACGTGGTAGGTTACAATGTTCTTAACGCACTATATAGATATATTATTATTACAATTCCATGCTAGGATAATATGGATTAGCTCTAAGCAATTTATATATCCTCAGTTTTCGCCCGAATCACCAAGATGCGTGTGTGTATATAGTTCCTCATACTTCCATCATTTTATCAATCATGATGAAAATTCCATTTCTTTGTTTCCGATCACCAATTGAGAGGATATCCGCATTTAAAGCATTTCTTCGTATGCATGTCGAATGCGTTATATACGAGATCAAAAGAAATACTGCGCGGATACTATGCGTGCTCGCTAAGTGGAACCAAGGTAGCGTTTCCGAAGGATAATATAACCCGTGGTTTGTTGCGTCACGAATATGCGTGTCCCGCGTCGAAATAGGAGATACCCCAAGAAACGCACTCCCGCGGCATTAATTTACAATGATGCGATTGCAAATTGCGGCCGTAATCCCGCGAATACGCGCCAGCGGGGAAAGCGATCAGAAAAGTGACTTAAACGGCTCACAATTGCTTTAATTGTGAGCGTGAGTTTTGCCTGTCGGACGATATACGGTAGTTCGTCGCTTATTACCGGGCGATTAACTCTGACCGCGCCGCGCCCGCGCCGCCTCGGGCTTCCCACTTTCCAAGATGTGTACATTCCGAACGAATGCACACTGTGTAATTCTGCAGATGAGATAATCGCTAGGAGGAAAGTTCCTCTAATCGCGTGATAATCGTTGATTTCGAATGAAAGGTGGGGAAGATATTTGCTAGCGTGATATTTAATATATATACAAGCAAATAGTTTAGCATGTCAACAAATCCGTGTAAACATGTCCGTGTAATTAATGTCTTGTATAATTTTTATTTTACGAATAATTTGTGTTATTTATAAAAATGTTTGTAACTGAAAGCTATGTTTTTCTAAACTTTGTAACTTAAAGGAACGAAGAAATTATATCGAACATATGAAGTGTGAAGATTGACATAATATAATACGTGCACACACATATAATACAAACACACACCTTTTATGTTAACTTTTATATGTCAGATGAAGTAGATATAAATAATTTCCTCGTATACAAAAATACACACAATTGGTTATAATGGAGACAGAATATCTACAAGATGTACGTACACTTATTGTTATAAGTGATATATATTTTTTGATAAGGTGGGACTTTGATGATTCGCCCCACCGCTAAATTGAAACAAACATAAGTCATTATATCTCGCGAAAGTGACTAGGCCGGTGAACTCGGATCCATTTTTCTTTTTTTGATCACGCAGTTTGGTAGTGCCTAATATGGATGGACACTTTGTGGACTCGACTATATTTACGTGTTAGTTTTGTCAACCAGACAGCATATTCGTTGTGTTCAATAATCGTGTTTTTCTGTGTATGTGTGATTGTGTCATTTTCACACCCCAGATGGAGTTAGACAT